ACAAAAACCGCCCCATGTGGAACACAGGCTTACAGGAAGATTGAAGGTTCCAACCATGACATAGCTGTTGGCATTCCGGTCATGAACAGAGGTCCCAGGCCCCCGAGTACCAAGTGCAGGTCCCCCACCATGGGTGGCTGAGGCAGACCCTGTCCCAGAAGATGCCCCAGAAGGGAGCTGAGTCTGAGGAGGAGCACGTTCCACCAGGTGGATAACCTTGCCCCCAACATCTGCAAAAAAAAGACACACCAAAACATTACATAATCAGGTAAACCCATGGTCTCAGTTCATCCCTCTGGACAGCTACCTCAAACTCTAAACTGCCTCCCCCACCCCCTTACTGTATTCCTGGAGCTTCTTATCATCCTGCAGAACTCGTCCCTGATAGATGAGCCGTTGTTTCTCAGAGGGGATGCTGACAGAGGCAGCAATGTGCTCCTTAAATTCCTTTACATTCATCTGCAAAGAAGGGATATAAACAGGTATCTAGCAATGGAAGAAAGAAGAAAGACAGAAAAGAACAACTAACTTGTGGGGGTGAGGGGTAAAAACCATCTCATCATAAAATCACTACCCACTTGCTTGATTGTGAGGTAATTATTGTGCAAGGCCCCAAACTAAGACAACTTCTGTCAAAATATTGGCAATAAACATAACTAAGTTCAGCTCCAGGCCTAGGAGAAACAGAAAAGCCAACTGACATTCCGTTCACTGCTCCCAAGGGAATGTGTGTCTAAAGATACCAGTGACCACTCCCCAAACACAAAATGATACAACTCTTCTCAGAGATAAAAGCAGTAACAAGGAAGATGGGGTGGACAATCAGGTTAAGGAAGGAAGAATCAACCAAGAAGAAACATAGAAGAGAGCAAAAAGGTTTTTCCTAACTAGACAACTTTACTCTTGGGAAAATTCGGGCTGTTTATATACAAAAGCTTATATGGTTTTCTGAAATTCATGTTTTAAAAACCATAGGCCAACCCCTCACAATTTTGTCTCCCAATATTACAGAAGGGATGACATAGATAACCGTGCCCATGCTGTTGAGTTCAAAAGATTCAAATTATGCCACTAACATTAGTAACTCCACTCAACAGGCCTCTACCTACATTACGGGCTCTGATTTCTCACCTTTAAGATCAGAGTATTGACCTGACCAATTTTTGTTTTTAAGGCACACTTGCATTTGGGGTCTGTGTGTTCTCTTTCCCAAAGGCAGGAACCATGTCTAATCCTTCGAGCTGGGGTTTACTAACGATGATGGCATACAGATTCCTCCTTCCTCCATATTTCCCTCTACACTGAGTTCTACTGAGGTGAAAGAAGGCATAACAAAATCTAGCTCATTCGATAGAAACCATACCTTCTTACTCAACAAGAAATACCAAAAAATATTCTATCTAGAATGTAAACAAAGAAATTAATGAAGGAAAAGTTGAGGACCAGAAAATCAGGTTGTTCTCTCAGGCTAAAGGGTTTACAGAAGGAAAAGTTAATGGGTATCTTCCAGAAGTACTGGGGTCTCACCTGGGCCCCCACAATAAAGGTCCGAGTCTGAGAGTCCAGGGTCTTCACCAGCACCTCCAGGCTGTCAGGCTCCTCCATAGTGGTACTGGTACTATTATTGGACTCCATAGCCTACTGCTGTCTAAGGAAGAATGGAGAGAGGCCCGCTGTTGCCAAAAGCAGATTTTATATACCCAGAAACCTCCCCGGCCTGAGTCTCCGCCCCAATGCCTAAAGAGTTTCTCCCACACAAGCACACACACTCACACCTGCCCCCATTCTCCTTCTGATTCCGGGGCACAGGGAAAGAAACGCAAAGGGCAGGAGACGGACAGCAAAGGAAGCTGGGGGACAGGAGGTGGGAGGGGCCCCACGATGCCTATCACAAGAGCGGGCCACTCGGACTAGGAAATAGGGAAGAAAGGAATTACGATTCCAGTGTCATCACCTGTCGCGACAGAAGGGTCCCAGAAACCCTGGGACAACGCGGGCAAGGGGGGGGTGTCGCATTACACTCTGCGGAAAAAGTGGTTTCGCGCACGCGCGCCACACCCACTGAGCCCGCTGAAGTCACGACAGACCCAAAATGACGGACACTCACGGGGGGCCAGACCGGCTAGCTGACTGCCCCCCTCTTCTGCCTTCTTTCGGTGCTCCAGCAGAGCGTCGCAACCAACACACATCAAATACACACACCACCAACCCGCAGCTCCTCCCCCGACTTCCCCACGGTGCCGTCATTTCCGGTCACCTCCAACCTGCCACGGACGTCCACTTCCGTTTCCCCGATAGTACTTGGAGATCGCGAGGCGGAACTTCCGGCTCCCCCCCTCAGGTCCCCAAGCTTCACTTTCGTGGAGCACGACGAGAAAGTCCACGGCCCCAAACAGTGAGCTCCTGAGGGCGAGACGGGCCGGGGCCGGCCTAGATGGGAGGAAGCCGAGCACCCAGAGGAGCCGCCGCCGCCGCCGTCGCCCGGGGGACCGTACTGCGTCTGCGTGTATCGCATTACGCATGCGTACACACTTGGGTACCGCCCCACCCCGCTGGCGCTGTTCATGTCTCCCGTGCGCGCGCCAGAGCAGCAGGAGATTGAGGTAGCCACTATAAGTGCCTGAAAAAAATTACCGGATAAGACTCTGCCTCAGGAAGCTTTGGGCGGTTGTATGGATTTTACAGTTTGAGAACTGGGGATTGTGCCTCGTTAATCTAGGTTAAAGTCTTGGCCCGCCGGCAGAGACTTTGAGGCGGCACTGCCCTGGCCACCTAAAATGCCGTCTTCCTTTCACTGTCGTCCTCGCTGCGCCACTTTTTCGGCGCCTCCGGAAGTCGCTCTTGGGCGGTTGGGACTGGTTCGCGAGCATGGTTCGCGAGCAGTGTTGCGTGCGGTCGCGTAGTAAGGCCTAATTTCGGTTCTGTCCGGTGGGCGTTTTGCGGAGTGTGGCGCCATGTTTCTCACCAGCGGCTAGCGGCCGAGGGGACATGCCTTGTTTTTGAGAAGCTAAGGATTTACTACCTTTCAGGACTTTTGTCCAAAAAAAAAAAAAAGGCGCCTCCGAGTTTGGAAATTGGGAGCAAATGAGGTCCGACTGGACAACACAAGACTTTGACAGTGGGGAATTGAAGAGACCGCCAAAGGCCTTCTGCAGGCCGCGGCCCAGGGTTTCCTGCCTCTGCAGCCTCCCAGCCTCATCCCCGCCGGCTCCCGCAGCGCTGCCCCTGCGCTATCCAAACCCGCCGCTGCCCTGGTGCCCAGCCCTTCTGGGATTCTTTGTTTATACCCAGGCCCGAATACTGTTTGAGTTAAGAGTGCTAATATACACCTGTTCAGTTGTAATATGTCCGCAAGATGAGATGCACAGCGGAATTGTAAAGGGGAACTTTTATTCTCGCTGGCGGGTTGCGGGGGCGCGGGGGGTGGGACATGGTCTCCCCTCAGATCAGCAGCCCGGATTCTTCTTGCTGCTTAGCTTTTAAAAAGAAGCCCCATCCCCCATTTACCACCATCCCCACCCCCCAGCGACCAGTACAACAGTGGGTGTGACAGCCATTACAGTAGTCAAAATTAGCATTAATCAGTGGGCTCATGATTTTCGGAAACATACCTCCCAATGTGTGGGATAACTATAACCTTAGGCAAAATTCCTTTACTTCTAGGAGTCATTAACCTGGAAAAATATAGAGGAAAGTCCATTTATGATGATAAAAATGGAGTCATTTAGTGGCCTTAGCCTCAGGGGCCCGGTAACAGTGAGCACTTCGTTTGTGCCAGCCAGTTTTCTAAGGGTTCTACGTACTGTCACATGTAAAAGCCTTTCAACGTCTGATACAGTTATTTCTTCCATTTTATGTAGTGAGTGCACCTAGCAAACTGACAAATCCAGGCCTACCAAACAATTCTAGGACTCCCCCACCCCCTCACCTGAGGACATTTTTGCATTTATCTTCAGACAGAGCGGGAGGGAGAGGGAGGAAGAGAGAGAGAAACATCCATGAGTGGTTGCCACCCACACAACCCCAACAGTGCTGGGGACAAACTGCAACAGAGGTATGTGCCCTTAGCAGGAACCAAACCCAGGTCTCCGGTCCACGGGCTGATGCTCTAACCGCTGAGCCAAACTGGCCAGGGCCAGACAATTCTACTTTACTGCCCCTATACATTTTTTAGTTTTTTTATTATAAAAAATGTCACACATTACCCCAAAATAGAATAGTATAATGAACCCTCGTATACCCAGTTAAACCTCAGGACCAAAAAAAAAATTGGGGGGGCACTCTGAATTATGATTAAGGAAGCCCCACTTTTCATTGCATTAATTGCCCCACCCACTTGGCACAATCCAAGGGCTGTCTCTTGACAATTCTTTCCTTCTATTATTTGAGAATGTATTACCCGTTGGAAACTGTAATAATCACTTTACAAACATTAATTTCAGCAAATATTTACTTTGGACTTCTTATGTGCAGGCCTTTGCAAAGTGCTTTATATGGATTATCTTAATCCTATGAGATTGATGATTTGCTCATTTTATAGATTTAAAAAACAGGTATAGAGATTGTCTAGTAAGTAGTAGAGTAGAACCCACTCTGCCCGACACCAATGTCTGTCCTCTTTAACCACTAGATTAGGTACTCTCTTAACAGTAATAAACGTTGAGAGAATGAACTGTGTGTCAGCTTTTCTGGATGGTCTGCATACTGTTTCCCCAATTATAAACCAGAGAAAAAGCCATCCATCAGCCATGCCCCAGCACCTAGTTCATGCCTGTTCTAAAGCACTTATCATGTTGTATTGCAATGATTTGTTTACACAGCTAGTTTTCCTTAGACTGACTTCTTCAAGGCCAGGGACTGTGTCTCATTCATTTTTATGTCCCCAGGGCTTAGCCAGTTCCTGGCAAACAGCTGGGACTCAAAACAGTTTGCTAAATGAATAGATGAGTCAGTCCACCTCTCTGCAGTGCTGCACAACACAGCAGATACCAGCTCAAATCAAGACCACAGGCTCTACCTGGAGGGCTTAGCTCTCCTGAAAATTCCCAAAAGACTATGAACAGGCCAGGCAGGGTGTATAGCAGAGTGGCTGCATCTAGAAGAGGGGGAGGAAGGGCCAAACACTGTAAGTAATCCATGTTTGGAAATCAAGGTTGAAGTTACTTATTAGCAGGTGAAAGGGTCAAGGGTCAAGGCAAGGGGGCTGGAAGCAGAGTGGACTGAGCAGCCAGTGGGGGAGAGAATAGTTAAGGCACCAGCCAGTCCACGAAGAGCACCAGCTCCCTGTTGCCTGAAGATGTTCCACCAAATTTGGGCAGCTCTGCTTTACCTCTATGGCATTCTCCTTAATTCCTTCTACCAGTGCCCTGAGCACTGTCAACTGACAACTCAGGGAGTGGATGGGAAAGAGGTATGGACTGAGAATGGGGGAAGCTTACAGTGGGGGCTCTCAGGGACTTGACTGGGTGGGCTAAAATGACCAAAACCCACATTGTGAAAGTAAGGGAGGAAGGTGTGAGTATTGTGATGATCAAAGCAAGGACAAGTAAAAAATATAGTACTGTGGCCATCAATGTGGAGATATGGTAGAATTTGGGGGGTGGGTGGGTGGGTTACTCAGGTTATTGAGGACAGGCAAAGAGGAAAAGTCATGTAATGACTCCCTGTCATGAATCCAAGCCCTGGTTGGAAAAAGGCAACCTTTACCCACCTCTAAGTCTCGCTGTCCTGACAAAGAGGTTGGATGGATCCTGTAGTGGAACCCACCCTCTTCTACTCCCCTTGTCTCTCCAGTTCCCAGAGCCCCACCTGGGCCAGTGGTACTTTATCGCAGGGGCAGCTCCCACCAAGGAGGATTTGGCGACTTTTGACCCTGTGGACAACATTGTCTTCAACATGGCTACGGGCTCTGCCCCCATGCAGCTCCAGCTTCATGCTACCATCCGCACGTGAGTGGTGGTGAGGCAGAGGCATAAGTAGGTACAGTCTCTGCCCAAAGTGTGAGCACCTACCCACAAAGCATTGGGCTCTTTGGCATATCCACTGTTCTTGGCCCACTGAGTTCAATGGCTCTATTTGTTTTCCTCTGGAGAGATGGGCCTAACCATCCCTAAGTAGCTTGAAACCCAAGGTGCAGGCTTCAAGAAGAAATAAGAGGGAAGAAATAAAATTGGTAGTGTTGTCGGGGTGTCATCATTTTTTCTCCTTGCCACTACCACTTCTGCAGGAAAACTGGGTCTTGTGTGCCACGGGAATGGATCTACCACCTGACTGAGGGGAGCACAGATCTCAGAACTGAAGGTTGGTCCTCTCCAGCCCTCCCTCTCCCCAAGTCCTCTGGCTTGCTTGGTTTTGCAACTCTGTCTTCACACTTCCCCCTCAACCCTTCCTGACAGGCCGCCCCGATATGAAGACCAAGCTCTTCTCCAGCTCATGCCCAGGTGGAATTATGCTGAAGGAGACGGGCCAGGGCTACCAGCGTTTTCTCCTCTACAGTGAGTGAGGAGGCAAGGCAGGATGGGTTGGAAGGAAACACAGGAGTAGGAGAGCCCCTCACTCTGGGCCCTATGACACCATCCCAGGAAGGGCTGGGTACCTCCAGGAGGTCCTCACCAGGGACAGTGCTAAACAGAACTTTGATGGGCCTGGCCCTGCTGTGCCCTTCCAGATCGTTCACCACACCCTCCTGAGAAGTGCGTGGAGGAATTCCAGTCCCTGACCTCCTGCCTGGACTCCAAGGCCTTCTTACTGATTCCCAGGAAACAAGGTAAGGGGGTAAAGTACCACAGAAGAGATCGAGGACTCTCCAAGTCTTCTGCAGGTGCAAGTGATGTCACCAGAGGGCAGGACCAAAGACTGACATTATTAGAGTGGCTGTGTTCACACTTCCATTTGTTATAAGTTGTGATTGCACCAGAGGGAGCCAGGATGGGCCGTGGGCTACTCAAGAGAGGTTTCCGAGTTTGCAGTGGATAAAGGGGGCAGAGAGTCAGACACGGAAGGAAATAGGCTTCAGAGACCCTTTCTTTGACATGGGAAGAATGAGGGAATGCATTCTCCCCTACCCATTTCCAACAACCTTGCTTCTCTCCCTGGATTTCCTTCCTTTCCATCGTCTTTTCTCCCTCCTCCCACCAGAGGCCTGCAAGCAGTCCAGTAACTGACCTGTGGTTTCATCTGTGCCCCCAGATGGATTTGGTGGGAGCTAAGATTGTGGTGGGGGAAAAGAGAAGCTGGAGATGCCCTTTCAAGAGTAATAAAGATGATTTTTCAATCCTCATCTCATGTTGGGGCTTGAATGTGTCCAGACATCAATCCCACTCCCCCTAAACCTTCTATCACCTAAACCCCTAGCTGGACGGCATCACGAAGGACACTGAGTAGCAGTAACTCACTTTGTAGTGGTATATTGAAGATTTGACGTGACACAGTGATTTATTGCTGAGCGAGCAACCCCTAACCCCTGCACCAGAACTGCAAGGCCCCAGTGCTTCCCCACATGGCTTGTCTAGGCTGCCAGCCCATGAACCCACCCTCCTGCCAATACCACCTGCACCATCCCCACTCCCTCTGGCTCCCAGAACACCCACATCGTCCCCACAGGCTCCCTGTTGCTTATGCACCCCATCCAGACCCTAAATCCACCCACCTAGCCAGCCCCTCTCTTCCCTAGAAGCCCAAGATCCAAAGGACCCCTTGGGTTTCCCAACCACTCTCTTACCCCAGCCAGAGTTCTATTTGTCCCTGGAGAGACTAGAAAGGTAGAGTACCCTTTAGTCTTTATTCTCCACCACCACAAATTTGGTGGTGGTGGGGGGGGCTTTTAAAAAGTGAAGGTGAAAAAAAAAACCAAAACACTGAAGGTGGGAGAGAAATGTAAAATAAAAAAGTAACAACAGCTGGTGAATTCAAGGGCCATGCCCCCGCTGTCCATAAACCCAGACACCCTGAAATAGCTGTTCTCTCCTGTGGAGGGACAGGGGGCTATGCCCTCATACTCTGGGGTTTCTTCCCCATCCCTGAGGTCCCTGTGCTTACAATCTGGGCCATGCCCCCTACTCTCCTCCTAAAGGCCACACTGTCTTCACTCTTGCTTCTTTCTACCCCACTGAGGTGTGTGTGTGGGGGGGGGCTGGGTCACACCCCACCCTGAGGTCACAGCCCCTTTCCTGGGTCTCGACTCTGTTCCTCTCCCTCCCTCCCAAACTTCTCACCCTCCAAGTCAGAGGCCTCCTCATCCCCACTGGGCTCCCGGAGGCTGACAGCCAGCACCAGGGCCTGTAGGAGACCAAAGAGGCAGGCAAAGTGCAGGGGGTGAGCAGTAAGTAGGCTCAACACGGCATGGAGCCCATGCAGGGCAGCCAGGAAGGACAGCAGCCCGTGCAGCCAGAGGCCCAGAGGCCCGCTCAGGCCCAGCGTGTCCAAGGCTGCCCGAAGTGGCCGTGAACACAGCCCCAGCAAGGCTGAAGCCAGCAGCTCCAGTAAGTGCAGGGTCAGATTGGTAGAGATCTGCAGACACTCCTCTGGGCCTCCCAGGTACTGTGCAGGAGCCCCTGCTCCTCCACCTGGTTCCCCCCGGAGCCAGCCCAGCAGCTTCTGACGTGGGCCAGGCTTCTCCACTGATGCTTCAGGCCCAGAGGAGCTCAGTCCCTCTTCAGGAGACACTCCAGGTCTCCTGGTGCCACCTGAGTCCACAGGATCCCTTCCCATTTTGGGAATGGCCTCTGCAGCCTCCAGTCTCCCAGACTCTTGAGTGCTGGCCCCAGTCCCCTTGAGGGAATCCATTCTTTTGCTCCTCAGTTGCTCAACTTGGGATTCCCTGCTTGGTTGTGGAGCAGCCCCAGAACTCCTCTGGGCCCCTGAGTCTTTCATTTGGGAAGGCCCCACATCTCCCATGGTTTCTGGAGCACTGTCCCATTCACTCCCTGAATTCTCGGAGGAGCTGTCCACCTGTCTGGGTTCTGGGGTGGACAAGTCAGGCCTGGGTTTCCGGCGGCTCCAGGGTCGAGGAAGCCAGCCACCAAGCCGTCGCAAGAACATGGTTGGAGTGCGTAATGAGCCCCCAAATTTTGAGGCCGCTTCCTGGCAATGCTCAGGTGGGGGCTGAGGGTCTCCTCAGAAGCCAGAGTCTGAGAAAAGCAGGTATCTGCTTGGTGAGTCCTGAATTCAGAAATTCAAATTCATTCACCGCCCCACCCCCCACAAGATTCCAAAAGTCTCAGGATCTGACAAGGTCTGAGTCACCCCGACAGTGTCTTTCCTGTTTCCAGGTTTCCTTCCCAGCAAGCAGCACACCAAGTTTCACTCACCAAGGCCACGCCCCAAGGTGCCCCCAAAACTGGAGGTGGTGCTCCATCCAAGAACGAAGGAAGGAAGGTCGCCCCAGGGCCGAGGTGTTCCCGATGTGTGTGGAGGGGATCTTGAATTGCTGGCCTAAGGGAAGTTCAGGAATAGAAAGTCTACTAGAGGGTGGGGGGAGGTGTCCAGCGAACTCCAGCCGGCAGGTTCATCCCCTGAATTAGAAGGCTATGAATCCTACAAAGCGGCCGCACAGACCCCAAGCACGCAGCTGAGACGCGGCCTCGGGAAGGTCACGCCAAAGACGTCCTCGGAGATCACAGTCACGAGGCAAAGTGCGAGCCTGTCTGGGGACCTAGGCGTTCGGGTGCTGTGGACTGTGGCCCCTCCCAGGCCTAGCATTGGGGCCGCAGCCTCACCGAGCCGCCTGGAGCCGCTGAGCCCGGAAGCAGCTGCACCAGGGCTGCAGGGCCAGGCGGGGCGGAGCCCGCACCTCGAGGGGTGGGCCCTGCGGATGGCCCGCCCCCCCTCCCGCGTCATTAGTGCGCAGCCGCCGACCTCAGCGGCCCCCAGCCTCCCATTTTCGTCGCCCGAGATGCCCCGGCCGCCAGTGCTCCCCTGAACTCGCCCCCTGCCTTGGGTTCTCCCCTCTACCCTCCACCACCGTCTTCCTATCCATGACTTCATGAAAGGCTTTTCCGAAAAAGCTATGAGAGGAGTCTTGGGACTTGAAAAGTTGTTCCCTGCGGACTACTTCCTGGGTTTGACAACAGGGAGCTCTTCATTTGCCTGGCACCTGGTATGGGCAGCAAAAGGGAGAGTTTTCAAGTAGTGAGATGTAAGAACCTTGGCTTCAAGTTGAGATTTGAGAGGCCGGAGCTCTGGTGCCAATTCAGCTAACAGAGTACTGGCTGGATTAACTTAGGCCTTCCCACCACATGGGACTCTTCCTACAAGACCGTACCCATTCCCATCATCCCTGTGAGCCTGCCCTGCCTTCCCTGCCCCTGTGCACCGTTTGACCACATGGCTGTCTCCTCCTGCAGCTGGAAGGAACTCCAATGTTGGAAATGTCTTAGTACTATTCTTAGCATTGTACACAGCTAGGCTGAAGTGGTGGGGGAGGTGAGATTTGCATAGAGCTGGGCAGTTCCTGGCTGGGGCTTGAAAGAATAGGTGTAGTTCTCTTAGGCAAGGGCTAGGACCAGGCAGTAAACCAGACTGGCAGGAAGGTGACCTTATCATGCCACCTGGAGGGGCTGCCCCCTTCTGGCTCAGATGGGACATGCCTGTGACCCCCAGACTTGTTTGGCCTCCCTGTAACAGCTTCCAAAAAAGTAGATAAAACACAAAAAAATGAGATGGTTGATTTATTTTTCAACTCTCAGCCCCTCTTCCCAAAGGTAGGGCCTACTACTGACCAAAATCTGAGTGTCTGGGACCTGAGCAGACCCCAGAAAGTATAAGTCAAAGTGCCCAGGTTGAGGCCCAAGTTCAGACTTCAGCAACAGACCAGGGTCAGACCTTGCCATGGTTAGAACTCAAGGTTCATGTATATCCTCAGATCCCGCTCCCAGGCCTTATCCTTCTCCTTCTGCCTTCTCTCCACCCTCCTGCTCAGTGTCATCACCTGAGGGGCTCTCTCTCTTCCAGTCACTGCCCGAGTATCCTGAGCCAGGAAGTGTGTGACTCGGGGTTGGGGTGCTGATCTGTACCCTAGTCCTTCCTGGTCCCTCTTGAGGACAGTGGGGATGGGGTTGATGCGGCCCTTGCCCCGGGGTCCCAGCCCCATTCCAGGCTCCCAGCCCCCCCTCAACAGCAGCTTGAAGCCTGGGCTGGAGGTGGGCATCCTGAAGTGCAGTTGGGGAGTCCGGAGATCCTGGGGCAGTGACAGCAGGTGAGCAGTAGATGTGTAGTGGTTAGAGTCTTGGAAGTAGGCATCACAGGTGTCACAGTACTGGGTGGAGGGGGACTGGGACCTGAGGAGGAAGAGAAAGAAAGAAATGAGGGCAGGGGAAGGGTTGAGGTGGATGGGTCAAGGGGGGACAGGGTCCTTCTAGTCTTTCTAAGAAACAAATTACCTTCCTCCCCACTTAGTAATGAAAGACCTGAGGAGAGTAGTTGAGAGAAGAGATGGTAACCAGGCCTCACAAGGCTCTTGGGCAAAGGAGAAATACAATGGCTATAGCTAATACTGATGTAGTGCTTACTATGTAAAAAGCACTGTTCTAACACTTGACATATACTAACCCATTTAATCCTAACAACCCTATGAGAAAGGTACTCGTATTATAACCATTTCTCAAATAAGGAAACTGAGGCACATAGACATTAGGCTCTTGCCCAAGTAAGTTGAGCTGCATTTAAAACCACAGAACTATGCCCTGGCCAATTTGGCTCAGTGGTTAGAGTGTTGGCCCACGGACCAATGAGTCGTGGGTTTGATTCTGATCAAGGGCACGTACCTCGGTTGCGGTTCGTCCCCAGCCCTGGTCAAGGTTGTGCGGGAGGCAGCCAGTCGATGTGCCTCTCTCACATCGATGTTTCTCCCTCTCCCCCCACTCTGTCTGGAGATAAATGGAAAAATATCCTTGGGTGAGGATAAAAAGAACTATTAGAAAAATAAAATAAAATAAGATAAAACCAGAGTTCATGTTCACAGCCACTCTAGTATACTTCCTTACCTATCTACACTGGGAGATGAGGAAGAGAACCCTTCAGTTCTTTGCTAGTGTACAGTGGCTAGGAAGGGCAGGACACACTGAAAGATGGGCATGGGCGAAGACTTCCCCTCACCGGTTCTCTGGACTCCTCGTCTCTCCATGGCTCTCTCTGATCATGCGGGCCACCTCTGGGAAGCCTGCTTCTTCAGCCAACTGAGCAGCATCCCTGCCACCCAGTTCGCAGACCCCGACCCAGGCAGCCCCCCGGCCCAGGAGATAGTGCACAGCAGCCCCCTGGCCTGCTTGGGCAGCACACATTAGAGGGGTCCACCAGAAAGCATCCCGAACATTGATATTCCCCCCAGCTCCCCCTGCTTCTTGGGGATCCAACAGCCTTCTTAGCTCTGCCAAGTCCCCCTCCTGAGCTGCCCTCAGTATCCAATGAGTCATCTTGTCCTCAGCCTCAAGGGATCTCCTTTGTCCATGTCCTCCTGATGGTCCTGTTGTAGCCTCTCTCATCATTCTTCTCTTCTTCCTCTTTCTCTCACTGACGGGCTCAGGTTGCCTCTGAGGTTCAGGGGTGCTGCTCTCGTCTCCAATCAAGGCCTCATAGAAAGCCCGGGCTGCAGCCCCATCCAGGTTAGGCTCCAGCTCTTCAGCCTGTGACTGCTGCTGCCCATCTTTCCAGAGGTCGCTGTGTTCAGTGGCTGGGGTGAAGGTGATGAGGGAGGGCCTGGACATGGCTTTGGGGGTGCTGCAAAAATGAGAGTAAGCAAGGGGAAGATGAGACCAGCAAACTAACTCCCTGGTGGCTCTGGTCACTCCAGAGACCTGCTGGGATGAGAGAAAGTAGCCTTAGAATCAAAAACCTTCTCTCACCCCAAAAGTGACACCACAACCTAAATCTCTACAGGGTCTAAGGACAATAGAGCACATGAAAAACAGGGTATAACAGACCATGCCCATTAGTAAAGGTGAACAAATACTCTATGAGGCAGTTGCCCAAAGGTCCTCACTCCCAGCCTCATCAACAATAAATATGAAGAGCCTCTCTATGAAACTAGTTTATCACTCTGTAAGACACAAAATAAGAAAAGCAATCAGCCTGGCCCTTTTGATCTTCCTCAATCCTATTTCCGGTGTTGTCTTCCCAAACAAAAAACACTTGGCACTTCTCCGGGAAGCGGGAAGCAAATTTGGGGAGAGGCCGCAGTCTGCGTTACCTTGTTGCTTCCGTACTGCAAAATGGCACCACTCTAAGCAAAGGAGTTCATATAAGTAGCCAGACTATTCGAAGATGCATGCGTGGCTAGGGGGAAAAAAAAAAAACACAAAGATTGAGGGCGCAGGCGTGCAGAAAGCGCCTGGTTGTTTCCCGCCCTGGAGCCTTTCCAACAGTATTCTGCGCAAACCGCCACGTGCCTAGGCAGCGCGAGGACAGAAAAGAATCTGTCAGTTGGGGGTTCTGCATTTACATAACGCCCACAATGCCCTTCGCCTACCTCAACGTGGCCCCCCACTCTGAGCTCATTTTCAGGAGCTGGGAAACCACTCTCTGGGTTAAGAAAGGCCCTGGGAAGGCGGAGGGTAACCTATGGAATGCCCAGAGCTGTGAAATGAAATAACGTCACGCTGCCCCTCACCATTACTCCAAGCAGGATTCGAAGGTCGCACTTAGCGCCTGCAGAAGAAGACCCCACTCAAGCCCTAAGAGGAAATGGAGAAATGCAAAGGGACGAGCAGCAGAATGGCTGGTACCACCTCAGGTTAGCGCAATGGGTCGCCCTGGTTCTCACACCACCCAGCTCAGTCCTCACACCACCCACCTCAGTCCTCACATCGCCCAGTTCAGTCCAATACATCCTATCCAGGTCCCTCAACACGGAGGCCGGCCTCCGGGGTGAAGCAGGGGCCCCGTCAGGGGTCTCCAGTGAGCGCCTGACTCGGGCAAGGGGTTGGACAGGAGACAGAACCCGGCGGGTTGGCGGGGAATGAGGTCAGTCCCCTAGGCCGGGGCGAGCCGGGACCGGAGGCTCCCTGTGTAAGGAGAGCGGCAAGAAACAACCCAACTGACCTCGCCCCTTACCCGACTTCCTCTCGGTCCCCGGATCCCGGGATCACGTAACTATATTTCCCATGCTCCCCAGCCCAGGACGCGGTCCTGGGCTTCCGCTTCCGGTGGCGCCTCGCTGCATGCCGCCCCTAGCGTAGTCCTCAGGGGCCTCGCGACACCAAGGTCGTGCGCGGGTCACCCTGGAATTCGTAGTTCTCCTTCCCCGGGTTTCGCCGGTTTCTCCCCGTCGGGAACTCTATGTCCCGGCGGCCACCGCGGCGCCCGACCCCTGGCGCTTGCGCATTGAGCTTTTCCCCACCCTCCCGTTTCCACTCCCCCCTCCCACTTCTGCCGCGATCGGGTCCGCGGCCTGCGCTGAAGCCGTCGCCGTAGTTCCTTGGAAGTAGCAACTCCCTTCCCCCACCCTGGTCCCGGCCCCCGTCCTGACGGTGAGTCTTAGGGCGTTGTCGCCGCGCCGAGTGCCCTGTGCTTGGACGCGGCACATGGGAGTCTGCGCGCCTCGATGTGCGGGTGGGAAGAAGTGATCCGGTCCGGCACCGAGGGAGGAAGGAAAGGGTGGCTTGAGGGGCGGAGGCGGGATGTGAGGACTCCGGCGAAAGGGACCTTAGGGACACCCCCAGGCCACGAGAAAAGGAGGGGCCCAGCTCTTGCTTGGAAAGGATAAACTTGAAACCCTTGGAGAAGGCGCTAGGTTAGGGAGCCTAGCCAGGACTGGCCTTCGGGAGCGTCAGGGATGCGGTTCGGACTGGTAGGTCAAGACTTGTCGGTTTCTCGCTTATGGTGGGATCCCAAAGAATTCCTAATCTCAGAGAAAAGGGGCCGAGGTGTAAGTAAGAGGAGCTGTAGAGAAGTGCTCCAGAGTCTGGGGTCCTTTCAGAAAAGGTGGCCCCAATTTCTTCCGTGGTTGGAGAGCAAGGTGCGGGAGGAGGGGGATACCAGCGGCAGGGAGGGAGAGCTGGGGTTACACTGCCACTCTCTCTCCAGCTGACGTGAAGATGAGCAGCTCAGAGGAGGTGTCCTGGATTTCCTGGTTCTGTGGGCTGCGTGGCAATGAATTCTTCTGTGAAGTGAGTTCTCCTCAACCTCTCTTCTTATTTCTGCATATAGTCTGGCTAGATATTCTCTCACATATTCAGTTTCTGCTTCTATAAAAACTTGTTTCTGTCAAGGAAGAGTCCCTTCAGTAACTCACCATTAACTTGTGGTGAGCTGGCAAGACAGGGACCCAACTCCCAACCCTGCCACCCTCCAGCAATATAACATTGGACAAGTCAACCTGTGTCTTTTTTGTTAGTGCAGTGGTAGTGGTAGTGCCCGTCTCCTGCGAAAAGCCTTGGTTAGTGTGGCTCAGTTGAGTGTAGTCCTGGTTGAGCTTAGACCGGGGCACTGAAAGGTTGCCGGTTGGATTTCTGGTCAGGGCACATGCCCAGGTTGCTGGGCTCGATCCCTCCGGGTGTGTGCAGGAGTCCCTGATCGATGTTATTTCTCTCTCTCTCTCTCTCTCTCTCTCTCTCTCCTTCTCTTTCTCTCTCCCTCTCCCACTCTCCCTAAAATCAATAAAAACATTTAGGCCCTGGTCAGGTAGTTTAGTTGGTTAGAGTATTGTCCCAATATGACAAGGTTGCAGGTTCGATCCCTGGTCAGGGCACATACAAGAAGCAATCAATGAATGCATAAATAAGTGGAACACAGATTGATGTTTCTCTCTCTTTCTCTTCCTCTTGCTGTCTAAAATCAATAAATAAAAACTTTTTAAAAAGTCTTTTAAACATATTTAATATTTACTAAATAAACTAAACTACGTAGTATTTTTAAAAATAAAGTCAAAGCTTTTATGGGAGGGTGGTGTATGTGAACTGGGGAGAGAGACTCAAGTACTTGTGCTGACTTGGGAGTGGGGAATAGAAGCAGTTGTGCTGAGGAAAAGGCATCAGTTGGAGCAACTTGCTCCGGTCAAGGCCAAGAATTCTGCTATGAGTTCCCTCTTCACCTCCGCATCCTGACAGGTAGATGAAGACTACATCCAGGACAAATTCAATCTCACTGGGCTCAATGAGCAGGTGCCTCACTATCGACAAGCTCTAGACATGATCTTGGACCTGGAGCCTGGTGAGGCATCCTCAGGATTGGTGTGTGTGTGTGTGTGTGTGTGTGTGTGTACGCACGCTTATTTTATTTTTATTTTTAAATCCCTGTTCACCTGCTTCTTGAATTTCTCAATTTCCTTTTGGTTTCTGACTCCTTTAACCCAAAATCCCCTGCTTCATTTTCATTGCCCCACCTGACTCTTGCCTAGTTTAGTGACTTATATACCACTTGTGCTCATCCTCTTATTCTATAATTTAGCTCAATTTCATAATGCCAGTTTCCTCAGGGGTCTCGTTTTTTTTTGCCTCTTTCTCCAGTCTGCCCCTTCCAAGATAAGAATTCCATCGTCTGCATTGATATCTTTGCATTTATGTTTTGAGGAGGGAGTTGGGAGGGAGAGAATAGGACAGAGGCTGGAGAGGTGTGGAGAGAAGATAGAGCTGCCTTGGGTTGGTGGAAGGGTCAGAGGCCCACCTGATGGGTGGGGTAAGGTTCAAAGGTGGGTGCTGAGTATCTAGCATCCCTGGGGATGGGCAAGGTACCCAAGAAAGCTGTAAGACAAGTGGTTGCATTCGGCCGGGGCCATGTTTCAGATGAAGAGCTGGAAGACAACCCCAACCAGAGTGACCTGATTGAGCAGGCAGCTGAGATGCTTTATGGATTGATCCACGCCCGCTATATCCTCACCAACCGTGGCATCGCCCAGATGGTGAGGCCTCTCTGCTTCCACTTGACTCCTTCTGAGGCAGTAAGGGAAACAGAGGTTCCTGCAGCAAGAAGTCACATATTTCAATCCTGTCAAGGAGTCTAGCTAAGAAGAGAACCTCAGAACCTGGGCCTAGGAACTCGGTCCTGATTGGGGATTGTGCCAGAGGGGGTGTTTTTAGGAAAGGAGACGTGACCTTGGACAGGAAGTTGTTGGAGAGACTCTTCCTCAGGGAATAAACAGTGAGGGGCTCTAATGGTCTGCAGCCTCCCTCACTGGAGGAAAGGAAGCAGGGGAGTTTGAGGGCCCATTTGAGCCAGAGAGACAGGAGGAATGGGGGACAGAGTGATACGGGTTGAGCAGAGGAAGGGATTGCTTCTTGTCTTCACACCTAGCTTCCAACACTTTCCATTTTATTCACCTCAGTTGGAAAAATACCAGCAGGGAGACTTTGGCTACTGCCCGCGTGTGTATTGTGAGAACCAGCCAATGCTTCCTATCGGTGAGTGTTGGAGAAGGAGAACAACATATGGCAGGTCCTCTGGGAAGGAGTTGGGCTCAGCAAGTTGGGGCCATGTTTGGGAATGAGTTTGGGTAGTATTAGGCATGCTGAGTCTGGCTGTCTCCCAGGCCTTTCGGACATCCCAGGAGAGGCCATGGTGAAGCTCTACTGTCCCAAGTGCATGGACGTGTACACACCCAAGTCATCAAGGCACCACCACACGGACGGCGCCTACTTCGGCACTGGTTTTCCTCACATGCTCTTCATGGTGCACCCCGAGTACCGGCCTAAGCGGCCCGCCAACCAGTTTGTGCCCAGGTGGGGAGTAGGGTCTGAGTCACCAGGGGTCAAAGGAAAGGCCCTGGACCCCTGGAGAGAAGGGAGGGTTGGGTGTAGTCCTCTTTTGAGGTCTGCTTCTCCCAGAGCTGGGGCTGTCCTTGCTGAGGGACCTTGGGAAAGTTCTTTGATTGCCTGTGTCTCAGTGCCCTTATCCATAAAATGAGGACGATGATAGTACCTGCCTCACAGGCTATTAAATATATGAGGTGCTTAGGATAATGTTTGGCACTTGGCGCACCATTTAAACAACAGCTGTTCTTGCCATCACCTTGGGTGTTCAGCCTTTGCCAGGGGACCCTCAGAGCCATGGTTCAGGTGTGGTGTATCTTCCTAGAGCATCGTCTACTGTGGTGTAGGGGGAAAGTTTTATGTCAAAACAATTAGTGACACAGACATCTATATACAGACATATCCCAGAATTTGAGTTTTGATGGATATTTGAGATATGTTCCCAGATATTCTTGAGGGGAAGAGGTTGGGAACCACTGTCCTGAAGCACTGAGCTGGCCCATGGAGGAGCTGGGGTAGAGGTGGGAATGTAGGCGGATGGCAGGGCTGCATGGGGCTTACCCGCTGCCTCTCTGACCTCTGCCCCTGCCCAGGCTCTACGGTTTCAAGATCCATCCGATGGCCTACCAGCTGCAGCTCCAAGCCGCCAGCAACTTTAAGAGCCCAGTCAAGACGATTCGCTAATTCCCCACCCCCGTCCCTCAGTCTTTGACACCTCTATTTCTTTGCTGCCACCCTGTCGGCAACCCTCTGTGGTTTTTAGTTTAAATTAAAGGAGTCATTATTGTGGTGGGAATATGAAATAAAGTGGAAGAAAAGGCCGTGAGCTGGTCTGCTGGTGCTTGGGGTTAGGGAAGGGAGGGTAGTAGTGTGCTGGACATCAGGGGCCCTCATGGCCCAGCCTCCCCTCCCCAAGTTGAAAACCAGCACAGATTTGTGTCCGGTGGGTTTGGGTGATGTTTTTAGTAGCAGAGCAGAATTCCTAGGACTGGGTATTGGGGGCGGGGTATGCAAAGTCCCAGGGAAAAGACCTAGAGAAAAGTCATATTTCAAAGACAAGAGGAGTGCCTTGGCTGGTTTGGCTCAGCAGTTGGAGCATCGGCCTGTGAACCAGAGTCCTGCATTCAGTTCCCACTAAGGGCACGTACCTCGTTTGCAGTTTATCCCCAGCCCCCGGTTGGTGTTGGTTGGTGTTGGTTGGTGTTGTGTGGGTGGCAGCCAGTGGATATGTCTCTCTCACGTTGATGTTTCTCTCTCTCCCTCTCTATCTGAAGATAAATGCAAAAATGTCCTCGGGTGAGGATTAAAAAAAAAAAAAGATGAGAGGGGTGTTTGTTTTGGGGAGGCCACCTATGGCTGGTTGTTTATACTTATACTTTATGTAAGAGACATAACATTATCAGTTTCGGTTTTACAGGGAAAGTGATTCGAAAATAAACAACTATAAGGGGTGGAGAGAAAAGAGACAAGGCCCAGACTTGCTGCTGGGTGGTGCCTGGGTGCCCCCTGCTGGAGAAGCTAAGACATGCTCATCTCAGAAGGTTGGGGACCCTGAGTTCCTGGCCAGAGTCCCAGCACAATAGGGACTGGCTGTGTTGTAAGGGAAGACAGCATGTGGTGCCAGAGACAGGCTAATTCATGGACCCTTGAGGGGCGGGAATAGATCTTTGGGTGACACACTGGATAAAAGCCCAGGTAGTTCCCCTGTCTTGGCCACTGCTCTCACATCAGGAACCAGACCTCGTGGGTGAGGACACGTCGTTCTTCTTGCCAAGTTAATAACTTCCTTACCCAGCCCAGGTCCTGCCCCGGACAGGAATATAGCTCTGTACCAACAGCAGCTCCTGATCAGACTTTGCCTGTCAAAACCAGCCTGCCGCTCAGGATCGAGGAGCATGGTCACAGGAAGGTGGGGTTGCAGGACACCCCTCAGGGACTTCCCCTCTCCCCAGAATTCTATAATGAAGGCCCATATGCTTGTAGGTGTGCTGGTTGTGGTGGGCTTCGCACTGGGAAAAGGTAAGTGGAACCCAGAGGCAAAAAGGAAGGGATGACTGAGTCCAGGAAGGGGTGGGGCTGTGACCCTAGATGCATAGACTCCCTACAGGGCAGGGACCTTGGGGTGAGCTAGTGCTCCCCTCCCTTCTGCTTTCTTCCTCAGCTCCTGTTCCTGAAGTCCGGACCTGTCACCTCTGCCTCTTTGAAGACCCTTCTATAGGATGCATTTCAGGCTCGGAGAAGTGCACCATCAGTAGCTCATCTCCATGCATGGTGATCACTATCTATTATGGTGGGTTCAAGACCCAGGAAGGGTCTGCTGATGGGACAGCCCATTGCTGTCTCCTCTCTTCTCATAGATGAGGGCTGCTTGGGGCCTGGGGCACAAGAAGGAGTAAGAGGGTCCTGGGAGGTGGGGACAGGAGTTCTGAGGGGTCAGCTAGGCTAATTTTCTGACCCCTTCTGAAGGCGTCTTGGATGGAAGTTGGGTCTGGTGAGGAATGGGGAGAGTTCGTGGTAGGGGTACCAAGTTTGGGGACTCTAGGAGGCAACGGGTTATTAGCTGTCCTCTCCTCCAGATACCAAGATTCGCTTCTTCATACGAGGCTGTGGACAGTACAATTCTTACCGCTGCCAAGAAAAACGCAACACCTACTTCTCAGAATACTGGTACCAGGCCCAGTGCTGCCAGTACGATTACTGCAACTCCTGGTCTAGCCCTCAGCTCCAGAGCTCCCAGCCTACGGCCCCCGATGGGGCTCTGGGCCTGCCCCTGCTCCAGTCCCAGATCCAGTGGTTCTACCAGGCCCTGAACCTCTCCCTGCCCTTCCCCAGCTTTCATGCTGGGAAGGAGCCTGAAGGCTTGGACCCCCTGGCTGCCCTGCCCTTGAACCTGGGCTTGTCCATTGCTGACCTGCGCCACATATATTTGTTCCTCAATAATTCAGGGCTTTTGGTTCTTCCCCGGGCTGGGCCCTGACCCCTTACCCTTCCCAGATTGCAGTCTTCCAGCAGCTCTTCCCACACCCAGCACCCAGCACCACCCTCTCGTAACACCCACATTCTCTGGTCTGTGCTTTGTCAGGCCTCTCCTTTGTACCTCGTGTCTATGTGGCTTTGGTCTCATTTCTTCCTCAGAAACCCAGTGTGCCCAGTGCTCTTATCTTCCTAGAAAATAATTCCAAGTGCAGATTCTGCCCCAGTTGACCTTGAAAAGGCGGTGGTTCCCTCATCCCTTTCCGATCTGAGTGTTCCATCACCCCATCCTCCCAGGCCCCTCTGGTCTGGTCATCTGCTAACTCCACTTAGTTCCGGCTGTATCTCCCACCCTGTGCCTGTCTCCAAGACCCAGTCCAGACTGGACTTGCAGCAAGGAAGATGAAGGGTAGACTTCTGTGCAGATTTTCTGACTTGGCATCCTGGTATCCCTGCCTCGCTGTCTCCACCACCCCACTCCCGCCCTGGTCTTCTGCTGCCTTTTCTCATCTCTTGTCCCAGTCTCTGGCCTCCTCAGCCCCACTTCCGTAGGTGGCCAGGGAAAGGAGAAGGTCTGTCCTGCTGGGCTCCACGTCCCCTGATTTCCCTCCGCAATAAATGGACGGGTCTAAGTCTGTGTCATGTTGTTTATGGGGTCAGGCTCAAGTGTGGGCAGATGTGTAGACAGGTTGAAGTTAATGAGGCATAGGGTTCAAATGGTTGTGGAGCCCTACCCACTCCACCTGGCCTTTGTGGCTTCCTCATGGCCTGCCTCGACGGCCTACATCCATTCCACCTTCTGCTCAGCTACACATCAAAGCAACATTACGATGCCTTAAGCCAGCGGTTCTCATCTTTGCGACCCTTTCACAGGAGTCGCCTAAGACATTACAGTTAAGAAGTAGCAATGAAAATAATTTTATGGTTGGGGGTCACCATGACATGAGGAACTATATGAAAGGGTCGCGGCATCAGGAAGGTTGAGAACCACAGCTTAACATACCCTATAAAACCTAGAAAGTTGAACCCAGGTGACATCAGGTTTTCCACCCGAGAGAGGAGGGAAAACTTGAAACCAGGATCACTCAGAGCAAACCGAGGGCCAGGTCTGCATCGCGGTCACCTGCTTGTTTCCTGCCTGTCCGTTTTTTAGGTCTCTGGTACCTAGGAACCGCTAGGTGGGGGCCTTTCATTTTATATTTTACTTTTGAAAACAAAGTATCCTGAGAGCAATAATTAACAGTCATAACTCCCTTTCCCATATATTCAAGCAACCCTAGACACAGTCTCTGCACCAGGCCCAGTGTTCAGCATCAGTGCAGCCAGGTGTCCACCCTTCCAAATCGCAACCCAGTGCTGGCTTTATGAAGCCTTTCCTGAGAAGTGCGCACGTGGTCAGCTCCTCCACCACTTGGAGGACGTGGTCTTTCTGCCTCACTTTGGTCACCTGTGAAGTCGGCTCTGCCTCAGGGTTGAGAGGATGCATGTGGACCTGTGCACACAGTGGAAGTCAGGGCCTCAAATGGGTATGCCTTCGAGACAAACTGATTTTGGCCTATTTATTTTTAAACCTTTTTGGCAAAATACACAGGAGATGGGTTTTTGTAAGCCACCCACCTGTGTTAGCAGTCCCCACCAAGTCAGGATAAAACCCTCTGGTACCCAGAGCCGCGTCTACGCACCTCCCGGGCACTCCCTCCAGACCAGGAGTAGCCACTGTCCACACAGCATTTGTAAGGGGCACCATACAGCGTATGTTCTCATCTGCACAACGTTTGGCACGTGTTAACGTCTCCATGACCCCTTTAATAGCCTGTGTTCTTGTAGGAGACACCAATGTTAATTTTTAGGTCAGAAGGCAGTTGGAGGTACAAAAAGGTATAAACCTGTGTGTCCCCCTCTTGCTGGGCCCACTATTCCCCGTGACCTCCAATTTCAGTATAAGACAGAAAGGTCCAAACTGGAAGACAGCCTCAGAGGCTGGGGAACCCAAGCCCAAAATTGAAGAGTGACATGACATGGTCCTTGAAGAGGGAAGCTGAGCCTGGGGTCAAAGAGTCAGGGTTCCACTGGGCCCAGCGTCTCTTCACAGAGTGTCCCTTCTCCCTGGGCCTGGGCCTTACACAGCCACTCCCACCGACGCCTCCCCCACAAACTCCCCTGCAGTTCCCACAGCTCTGGATCCCACAGCACTAACAAGGATGCCCACTGCCTTTCTGGCCTTCAGTCTGTCCTCTTCACCTTTTTTAAAAGGCTTTTTGTTGTTTTTCTTTATTGATTTTAGAGAGAGAGGAAGGGAGAGGGAGAGAGAGAGAGAGACATTGATGAGCGAGAACATCAACTGGCCGCCTCCTGCATGCCCCCCACTGGGGATCGGGCCCACAACCTGGGCATGTGTCCTGAACCCTGACTTGGAATCAAACCAGCGACCTCTTGGTGCAGGGTCGACGCTCAACCACTGAGCCGCACCAGCTGGGCACTCTTCACCTTTCTGTGACTAGAGCTGAATCACGCCAAGGCAGGGCAGGAGCAGAGCTCAGCAGAGCTGGAGCCCTTACCTGTCCCCACAATGGGGCGGGCGGGCAGGACCCTCTCCCTCAACCCTCACCAGAAGAGAGAGACAAACCATACAGTTTTCACACCAATTTATTATGGAGGAACACCTTGTGAGAGAGGCCTGTGGTGGGGAAAGGGAGAAGGCTAGAGCAGAGCAGAGGCAACCTAGAGGGGAGGGAGGAGTCAGACTGTGAGGACTTAAAGGGAAAACTCCAGAAATGTCTGAAGAGGGAGCCTGGGGAGGGGCAGAGTGGGAATAGGGTGTTGAGGGATATAAAGCAAGAGCAGCTAGGGCTGGGGTCAGGTAACCTGAGGGAGGTAGGAGGGCTGGTGAGAGGGACTGGACGTTGTCCCGGCTGTGCCCAGGTGGGAATCGGGGCTGGTTGGAAACTGGCACGTTTCCCTGCAAAGATCTCTGCAGAAGTTCTATGGTATGTAGAACTCTCTGTTCTGTGGGTTATTGCAGAAATTCTGGAAACAGCATCGAGAGAACATCCAGAAGCCAAACACCGGAGAAGCACGGGTACGTGAGCAATCACTCATCTGGTCCTTGCGACGACAGTCACTCACCATGATGTCAGAGCCACTGCCTGCAAGCAGTAATATGGAGGTCCCAGCAAAGCCCCACACCCACTCAGCCCTCACTCCATATGGACTTACCACACTGCCCCCCACCCTTCCCTACACCTAAGAACAAAAAGACTTCTGGAACTGGGCAGGGGCAGGAAGTGCCAAGGAGCCGTGAGCTCGGCAGAAGTTCCCTATAGAAGGTTGGTGGGAAAAAGCCATCTGAATATAGTGATAGTTGGAGGGTGCTGAGCTGGGACTTGTGGAGCAAAGTAGGGAGAGTCAACACATGGGGTGGGACCATGTAAGAAAAAGCTGGGAGATTTATTGGAGGTGGGGTTGCAGAAACGAGGTGTTTAGTTTTTTGTTTGTTTTTTTTTTGGTACGTGCCCCTAACGGGAACCGAACCCGGGACTCTCTGGTCCGCAGGCCGATGCTCCAACTGCTGAGCCAAACCTGCCAGGGCTGTTTGTTGTTTATTTTATGAATTAACAGTAAAAGAAGAGATGTCTGCTGCTGTTATATACAGGGTGGGCAAAAGTAGGTTTGCAGTTGTGAGTACACAAAACAGAGTTCATTCTTGTTTATTTATTTATTTATTTATTTATTTATTTATTTATTTATTATTAACCTACTTTTGCCCACCCCGTATATTGGAGGGTGAAAAATCTTTGTGCCTAGGTTCAGGGAGGTTCACTGAGCAGAAGTAAGCACCAGTCCATCCGCAGTGGACAGCAGGTGGGCTCTGAGAGCCCACGTGTCGAGCGCTGCACCGCAGGTCAGTGGAATAAGGAAGCCATTCACAGACTGATAGGGGAATGTTACATTCCCACAGCTGTTAAGTTCAAAAAGCAAGTGCAGAACAGTGTTTACAGGGGTATGCTGTTTGTGGGGGAAAGAGGTAAAGATAGGGTAAATGTGTAGGGTGGGATGTCCACTAAAGATCACAGAAAGGGTAACCAAGACAGTAAAAAGAGTAATTTGTGCCCTGGCCGGTTTAGCTCAGCAGTTAGAGCGTCAGCCTGCAGTCCAGAGAGACCTGGGTTCGGTTCCCGCTAAGGGCATGTACCTCGGTTGCAGTTTGTCCCCGGCCCTGGTTGGGTTGTGTGGGTGGCAGCCACTCGATGTGTCCCTTTCATGTTGATGTTTCTCCCCCCACCCCTATCTGAACAAAGAATGGAGAAATGTCCTCGGGTGAGGACAAAAAAAAAGAGTAATTTGTGTTTTCTTGCATGGTAGCTGAGGGCATTGGGCCAGGAATGGGAGGGAGACTTTTCTTTGACGCTCTTGAATACTGCAATAGTGAACCATGTCTATGTAGCTATTTGAAAAGTGTAATGAAATGATTTGAAGAAAGGAAGCTTCGTGCAGTGGTTGTTAAGAGTGCTATCCTGGAGCCCACAAATTGTGGCTCAGCCTCTAGGAAATGTGGGCAGGTATTGACATTTCTGTGCCTCTGTTTCCTAGTATGTAAAATACCTCAGAGGGGTATAAGTGCTTAGAACAGTGCCTGGCACATAGGGTGTTTTAGTGTTTGTTAACTTGACGAAGGTGAGGAGCTGGGTAGAAGAACAAGCTTGAAGAACAGTGAGATGGAGTCAATTTTTGGTAAGTTGACAGTGAGGTGGACGTGTCCGGAGGGCAATGTGACTGGACAGTGTGGCCAAACACTGAGATCTGGGAGGAAGCAGCATGTGGTTGGAAGCCAGGAAGCAGGAGATTCCTCTGGCAGAGTGGAGCGGGAAGATAGCTGCGGCCACATTCAGTGGACGTGAGCCGTGAAGGGTCAAGGAGAAGGAGGCAAGACTCAGTAAAGAAGACTGGGAAGAGGTAGGAGAAGGAACTACTGCTGACAGATGGGGAGAAGACACCCTGAGGGAAGGCCAGTGGAGCTGGGGATCTCAAGGTTTCCTACAGGGCTGGCACCTGCGGAAGGTGGAAACATGCCAGCTGTGGGCTGAGAGCCAGGCGGTGGTGGAGACGGGCGGCTCTGAAGGAAGAGAGACAGTGCTGGGGCAGTGTCTGAGAGTCTGCTTAGGAAATGTGCAGACGCAGTTCCGGGCCCAGACAGACAGAAGGCGCCTTACTGTTCTTGATGAAGAGAGTCATACAGCTGCTGCCAGGGGAGGCCAGGCAAATGTCGGATCCCAGCAGGCACCCCAGCTCCTTGGTCTCCAAGAGGCACCGATAGCAGCGCAGGTATTTGGGGAGTTGATCTGGATAAGGGGGCTCTTGATTGACTCGATCGAATTTACCTAGAACACAGATAAGCACTCAACCCACATTTCTACCTGCCTGTTTTCCAGGTCGACCCCACTGTCCCCTCCTCATCTCAGAAAACCATAAAGTCACCGGTTCTTTAAAACCATCTGGCTTGCCCTGGCCAGTTTGGCTCCGCAGTTAGAGCATTGGCCTGCGGTCCAGAGACCCGGGTTCGGTTCCCACTAAGGGCACGTACCTCGGTTGCAGTTTGTCCCTGGCCCTGGTTGGGTTGTGCGGGAGGCAGCCACTTGATGTGTCCCTTTCACGTTGATATCTCTCTCTCTCTCTCTCTCTCTCTCTCTCTCTCTCTCTCTCTCTCCCCCTCCTGCTCTATCTGAACAAAAAAATGGAAAAATGTCCTCAGGTGAGGATAAAAAAATAAAAAATTAAAAATAAATAAATAAATAAAACCATCTGGCTTAATCTTCCACCAGAAGCTTCAGTCCTCATTAAAAATCTCTACTCACAGGTCTCATATTTCCTGAAATGAGGAATTCATTCATTCATTCACTCATTTAACATGTTTTTGTATATGCCTAGCACTGTGCAAGTCTCTTAAGTTCAAAGGTTAGGTGAAGGCAGCCCCTTTCAACTTTGGGCAGCCCTGTTATTTCCTAAGACTTGGTTTCATAGTCCCCACACCTGCCCCCCAAACTCTTTTAAATATGCATTTTTGTTGTTGTTAATCCTCACCCGAGGATATTTTTCCATTGATTTTTAGATAGAATGGAAGGGAGAAAGAGAGGAAGAGAAACATCCATGTGAGAAAGACACATCAATTGGTTGCCTTCTACACGAACCCGCAACCCAGGTACGTGTTCTTGACCAGGAATCGAACCCAGGATCCTTCAGTCCGCGGGTTGATGCTCTAACAGCTGAGCAAAACTGGCCAGGGCTAAATATGCTTTCTTAATCTACAGAAGTAAAAACAAGCCCTGGCTGGTGTTGTTCAGTTGGTTGAGCATCGTCCTGTGTACCAAAGGGTTGCTGGTTCAATTCCCAGCTGGGGCACATGCCTGGGTTTTGGGCTTGATCCCCCCAGTGGGGGGTGTGCAGGAAGCAGCCGATCCATGTTTCTCTCTCACATTGATGTTTCTCTCTCTCTCTCTGTCCCTTTCCCTTTCTCTCTAAAATCAATAAAAACATATTTAAAAAATAAAAAACAGCCCAGCCGGTGTGGCTCAGTGGTTGAGCATCGACCCATGCACCAAGAGGTCACCAGCCAATTTGATTCCTGGTCAGGGCACATGCCCAGGTTGTAGGCCTGATTCCCAGTGGGGGGCATGCAGGAGGCGGCCAATCGATATTCTCTCTCATCGATGTTTCTATCTTTCTCTCCCTCTCCCTTCCTCTCTCTCTAAAATAAATAAAGGAAAAACAAACAAACAAGCAACAACAACAACAACAAAATAGAAGTAAAAACAAGAATGCAGCATCACAGGACAGGAAGAATCTCTGCTTCATGTACACAGGAGACTTCAAGCAGCCCAGGGCCACATGCTTTGTTTGGAGGTCCTAGTACAGGCCAGACTCATATTAACCTGTGTCCACCAAGCCCTCCTAACTACATGCATATATAGTTGTCCCTCAGTATCCATAGGGGATTGGTTCCAAGTAGATACCCAAATCTGAGAATGCTCAAGTCCCTTATATAAAATGATGTAGTGTTTGCATATAACCTACACACATCCTCCTGTATACTTTAAATCATCTATAGATTACTTGTGAAACCTAATACAATGTAAATGCTATATATGTGGTTATTATACTATATTGTTTAGGGGATAATAACATTGAAAAAAAGTCTGCACATGTTCAGTACAGACACAACCACCATGGGCCTAATTACACAATACACATCAGCAACAATATCACTTCCACTATTTTCCAATGCTCGGTTGGTTGGATGCAGGGACATGGAACCTGCACATATGGAGGGCCGATTGCACATCTCCTTCCTCTGGCTCCTAGCCAAGACCACAGGTTAGCGAGCCCCCAGACCCAGCAGAGCACTCAGTGTGAGGCGGGTGCTAAACAAACATTTGAATCCTAATTCTATGGAGATGGTGCTTTGCAGCCAAGTGAGGTTTCAGGCTGCATCCAGCCTCTTTCTACTCTGAATCCTGGTGCTGTCATCTAACATGTTCCCCAAAAACTCCCTATTTTGTGTTACCCTCAGATTTGAATGGGTTCCCTTCAGTACCTCCATTCAGGTCATTGCTGTTGAGTGAGACAAACCTGAGGTGTCACTAGACATCTCCCTCAGAGTGAACATCAGCCCATTATCAGTGCCCAGGCATTATCCCACCAAGTCCATTCATCCCACCTTTCCTTCTGCCTGGGCAGATGTACCCAGACACCTGGCGTCTGTGGGTTTCTCGATCCAGCAGGCCAGGAGACCCTTCTGATGATCCCTTTGAGCCACTTACCAAACACCAAGCTCATCATGACCAGCGCTATTAAGAGGACCATGTACAGAGCTTGGGGGTTGCTGTGGAGGCCCAGGGGCCCCAGACTCCGACTACATGCAGGGCCTGCCATAAAATGCATGTCTGCCCACCAGCCTCTAGTATGGGCTTATATTGGTGGAAGAGAAGTTGGCCAAGAGGAAGGACAGGGGTAACACCCATTTGGGGTAGAAATTAGTGCCAAACAGCCAGAGGGACAGAGTGTTCTCACCTATGTCCACTCTGGAACCTAACATCCTGGCTTGGGGGCAGGAGGACAGCAACAGGGGAATGAGAAGGAAACATTCTTTAATATTTATCCAACAACATTTGAATCACTGCATCAGGTGTTGGAGATACAACATTGCACTAAGTTCCTGCTGCCAACCTAAAAATAAGCCTTTCAATGAGAAAACAAGCATTTACTTGAGATCTGTAAGAAGAGCTATGCCAGAATCACTGATTCAGGCCGAAGCCCAGATAGTGTTCCAGTGAGGAGACAACGGTGATGGGTATTTATGAAAAAGGCAAGGGGAGTAATTACATTCATAGAAGGAAGGCATTCCTATTGGTCTATTGGTGCAGGAAACATAGTGATGTTAATTCTAATTATTTTTATCCTCACCTGAGGACATTTTTTGATATTTTATTCAGATAGAGTGGGAGGGAGAGAGAGAGAGAGAAACATCAACGTGAAAGGGACACATGGAGTGGCTGCCACCCACACGACCCAACCAGAGCCAGGGACAAACTGCAACCGAGGTACAAGCCCCTAGCTGGAACCCAGCCCAGGACTCTCTGGACCGCAGGCTGACGCTCTAACTGCTTTGCCAAACCGGCCAGGGCAATTCTAATATTTTTTATTAGTTAATCCTCACCCGAAAATATATCTTTTTTCCATTGATTTTAGATAGAGTAGAAGGGAGGGGGAGAGAGAGAGAAAGAGAGAAACATAGATATGAGAGAGACATATTGATTGGTTGCCTCCAGCACAAGGCCGACCAGGGCTAGAGATCGAACTTGCAACCCAGGTACGTTCCCTTGACCAGAATTGAACCCACAACCTTTCAGTCGGCTCTATCCACTGAGCCAGTGCAATTCTAATATTTTAAAAAATATTTGTATTGATTTTTTTAGAGAGATAGAAACATTGATGTGAGAGAGAAACATTGATCAGCCACCCCCTGCATGCCTCCCACTAGGGATCTAGCAGGCAACCCCGGGCATGTGCCCTGACCAGGAATTGAACCAGAACCTCTCAGTCCATGGGACCAAGCTTAATCCACTGAGCCATAGAGGCAGGGTAGTGATGTTAATTCTAAACAAAGCTTTTAAAATTTTTTCAGTCTAGTAATCATAGTAACTGCTTTCTTATTATCTTTACAAACATTTCTTTGGGAAACAAGGTTGCTTAGGCGCAGTGCAAAAGTTATTTTGCCGTTTTAACATTCCAAGGTTTGAGGCATAAGACGTGCAAGGCAGCTCCTCTGACATGGCAGCTCCAGCTGCATTTTAAAGGGACTCCGTTGATATTGTTTACACTACCTTCCTAGAGCACACAGTCTTAATGGGGGAGGCAAATCAACAAGCAGTGATGGGGGTTGGGGGGCAGAGTGCTTCCCGGGAGCACCCGAGGAGTGGAAACCACTGACAAAGGGATTTCAGCAGAGGAATAGTATGATCAGATTTCTGTTTATAAGATTACTAAAGCGGGAACCAATTAGGCAGCTATTCCTGAGTCCAGCCACTAGATGGCGGCCTGATCTAGCAGAGGAGCAGCTGGGAAACCAAGAAGTGAGTGAATCTGAGATGTGTTTAGAAGGAAGACCCGACAGATTTGAAGGTAGACTGAATGTAAGGTGAGGGAAGGGGGGATGGGCTTGCACAAGGGGGTGATTGGTGATACCATTTTCCAAGATAAGAAAGATGTGGCACTGAAGTCCAAGAGCGAGGACTCCTGGGTCCTGGGTGCCCTTGTGGGTTCCGGGAAGCCAAAATGTTTCCCTATGCCCCTTTCTTCCCGCCCTGCAGAGCTCGGCTGCAGATCAGTGGGTCTGATCTCCGGCGCCCACAGGCTCCGGCGCCGTGCGCTCGCTCTCCGCGCCTGGCTGCACCTCAGCGCTCCGGAGAGGATGCGAGGGCGGCCCCGGCCCACAGCCCACGTTCAGCTTTCCGCCCGGCCGCTGGGGGGAAACTGGGAAGAGCATGCCGGGCGTCGGGACCCAGGCGTCCGGCTCCAGAGGACGCCCGGAGCACTGCGCGGCTGCCCGGGGAGGTGGCGCCCCTCGGGCCTGCTGGGCTCTGCACACCTGCATGGTCTGCAGCCCGGCCCGCTCAGTCTGCGTGAGAGACCCAGGGTTTCTCCGTTCAGTGTGGATGGGCTGTGGGAAGTCCTCGGGTCGTTTCCTGCCTGGAGGTTTGGGGCGGGGCCCTGCAGAAGGGCTCCCTCTTCGGCCCCAGCTCTTCCCAGCTCCTGTGGCTTCGGGGTGTTGATGGGAAGGATAGGAAGAAACCGACCGAGGCATGCACCACGAAAGATGGACGAGAAAGAACAGGAGAGGAAAACGCACGCCGCTGCGCGCCCGCCCAGAACCTTGGGATGAATGAAATAAGAAAGCTGTATTGAAATTATTTCATTCATCTCAAGGTGCCAGGGGTGGGGCTCCTGGCATCTACATAAATGTCTGTTGAATGGGTGACAGAGTGGTAGACGAAAATAATCAGAAAGCGAAGCGAAGAGGGCAGAGGGAGGCCGACGGACACTCCACAGCGACCTCCGAGCGCTCCTAGACTGTAGCCGTGCTCAAGGCCAAGGGCTAGGGGTTACGGCGGCCTCCCTCTGACAGTTCCAGGAGAACTTGCTGTGGAGCTTCCGCGACCGTGGGCACAGAGGGTAACAGGCGGGAAGACTCGGGTGGATTTGGGGGGCTGGGCTGGGCGGGCCTTCTCCGGATGGGGCATGGCCTCACGATCATTAATCCCGCTCTGGTTCCGCTTCGCTCCGGTCCGCGCGGCAAGGCGAGGCCAGTGCGCGGGAAGAGCCCGGAGTGCGTTGCCATGGTAACGGGCTCCGTGCGCCCTGGGCTGAAGAGGTGGCGCTGCAATCTCGCCTTGTGACAGCGGTGGCTGACATCCACGCTCAGCGCCGCTCCCCTAGGGATGCTCAAGGGTCAACCGCAGAGTGACCAAACAAGAGGTCAGCCTGAGGACCGATGGACGTTAGGGAATGGGGCGGGAGCCAAGTTCTGTTCCGGCGGGTCCAACACCGCGGTATGAAGAGGAACTGGAAAGGGGATCTTTAAGCTGAATATAAATGAATGACTGGGTTCCTGAGGGAGCTGGGATGGCTTGTTGATTGGGTGGATGGATGGACGGACGGATGGACCAATGGATGGATGGATGGATGGATGGATGGATGGATGGATGGATGGATGGATAGGGACTTGATTATACCCGACGCCTTGGGCTCCCCCACCTCTCGGGCTTTCCCACTCACTTGTGACGGCTGTGAGGGAAATACATGCCTCTCCCCGGGGCCTGGAGCAAACCCTCAACCCAAACACGCAGCAGAGAGCGGTGTCCAACACCTCACATTGGGAGCCGGCGAGATGGAGCCTGGGCCCATAGATCGGGTCGCATAAAGGAATGGCCCAGCCTAAGACCCACCTCTTCTTCCCAGGTTTCCTGCTCAGGTGCTACCTCTCCTTTCTCCCAGCTTCCATCTTCTCTACCAGTTTGCCCAGCGCCTCAGAGACACCTGGGTGTCCAGGCATCACTCGATGCCCAGTAATAGCAACAGCTAGAGAGAGCCCAGCAGACATGATGTCTGTATCTCCGCTGGTCTTCTGCCGAGACTGCTGGAACCCTGCTATACAGGATGAGGGAGCTAGTTCCACCCAGGGGTGGAGGTGAGTGCTGGATGGTTCTGAAAACAAACACAGCGGCTATGAGCCTTAGCAGGTGGGGAGCACTTTGAGGGGGAAGACTGAGGCCCATGGATAGGGTGGTCCAGATTTCAAATGGTGAGCCCTCTCACCACCCACTTCAGGTATCCGGGGCGCTCATAGCATCCACTGTTCTCTATAATGCATGAAGAAGAGGAAGAGGAAGCAGTGGGAGAGGCAGGTCAGTAGGGCTCCTAATGGCGTTGGCGAGGAAGGGGCAGTCCTTTGTCTCCAGGGTGTGGGAGGTGGGGCTGAGTGACCCCTGTTTGCATTTAAGGAGGTTCTTTTTGCTGAACAAAGACTTGGTTTCCAGGGGATTAACTCCTGGTGGATAGGGGAGGGCAAGGTTCAGAACCATGCAACTGGTCCCAGAGCCCATGGCTTCATGCTCTGCACTTCCTACCTGGTTTGTCCCCTGGGACAGGACAGACGAAAGGGTGCCACTATCAGCTTTCCCATATTTACTTAAGGTGAAGCATTTTGGAGCTATGGCCACCTCCCCTTTGTTAACTCCAAATATCAGGCATCATCACCTGACAAGTCTCAGGTCACCTCTTCCAGTGGAGATACAATATGCCCTCCCTTATGGAGGTGCTGAGCTGGTGGGAGCAGACACTCTGCCTGAGACTTCACGCATGAGGGCTGGAAGAGACACTGAAATTAACTAGAGACTGTCTAGGATTTCAGAACACTGTTGCCCACATTCGGTATCTTGTTCAACACAGTGGACCCAGGGTGCTCTAGGGGTATCTTATCTGGAAAGGATTCCAAGGGAAGAAGGTGGCCAGGCAACAAACTGATGGGTGAAGAAGGACTCATTCTGTTCCATGAGGTGCAAAGACTGGAAATAGGAGGGCAGTTACAGGGAACCAATTTCCTCAGCGTTGACCTAAGAATATTCTTTTAACAGCTGCCCAAAAAGGCCAAGTGTAGCTCTGGGAGTCCTTGCACCCAGCCCCTGTGGAGAGACTTGATGGCAGGGGGAGGGGGTGTGCTGGGTTTGCTGCGCAAGGCATGGAGAGCAGGCCTTTCCTCACTCCCCATGGAAGTAGTGGGAGCTGAGCAAGGAAAATCGGGGATACTTATGGTGAAATCATACCAGCTGGACCTGGAAATCGGTAGAAGAACTGAATAGGTAAAAAATCAGGTACTGGAAAGC